AAAGTACATCCTCAAAGTTATTGTTTCAACAGGTTTTTGTTTCTTGGAGGTAGAGATAGTTTCAGGAGGAGCAAGTTTGACTTGAACAGAATTTCTCTGGAGGGATGTTACATTGAAAAATACCAGACACAGCATGCTGATCTGAGAAGAATGTGTTTATACCAGCACAGCAACTCTCAGAGGAATTATGACATTTAGATTTATGATATCAATATAAATTAGCATCTTTCCTAAAAAATTGATAATGTCAGAAAAACTTGATTTTTTATTTCAGTGGATAAAGCTGTATGCATGAAGACTGCACAAAATCAGTTGGAGGACTTACAGTTCTAACAAGAGCACATTCTGGGCTGGATATTTTTTTCAGTAATTTTATGTGGTGTTTATATTCTGTTTCTTGCAAGGTGGATGCACCAGCCATCTTGTCATTTCCAGATGTAGCCCACTGCTTCCTCTCTGCAAAGTCCTGGTAGCAGTAGCATTTTAAAATCCTTGCAATTGTTTCTCAGTCAAATGTTTCAAGCAATACTTAATCGTCTAGTGAGCTACTGGATAAAATCCTTTTCTGTATTTTCATTTTCTTAACCTTTTTACAAAAGATTAGAAGCCACATTTTTCTTGCTGAAACAATTATCAGGTCACACAGATTATTCTGAGGGCACATTGTATTCTTAGTTTACAAGCAATAAATTTTTCTACTTTAAACTACTGTACATTTCCCCCCTATAAATGATCTTTTTTATTTCCCTTTAAATTATCTTTTTATGATGTCACAGTGATGATGACATTAGCCTGAGAAAGTAGTCCGTCTCATTCTAGTATGGTAGAATGAAACTGGTGGGGGGAATCTGTATTTTGTTGCTGTTCAATGGGAATGTGTAGAAAGGTACAAAACTGCAATTTCTGTACGGGTGACGTTATATGTTGTAGAAGAAAATGACATCTCTGTGTAGTTTTGGGTGTCCATGTAGATCTGAATATACAGATGTTGAGATTGTATGTGTGATGTAAAATTCAGTAATTGAGATTCTAGAAATGAGAGGCTGGAAAATGACTTGACTGCATTAGTTGTCAATTTCCTCTACTTTGCAGGAGCTCTTCTGAAGTTGATTTACAATAACGATTTTTATTCCTGCATTTTCCATTTTTTCTTTTTACCTTCCAGTATCTGAGGACTGTTGGAAAGCCAACAAAATGGTATAGATTCAATGTTCACCTTAGGTAAAACTACTTTCTTTGTTTATCAATACTAGTTGTTTTTGCATAAGAGTAGCACAGAGGAGTTAAAGTTACAGGCAAGCTATGTAAAGGAAAAGTTCATGATTACAGTTTTACAGTTTTCACTGAGTTATGAAACACCATTAGTAGCCATCACAGCCAGAACAATTTAAAGCTAGTCTGTCTCAATGTAAAATGCAAGAGGTGTTTGCTGCAAAAACATTCTCGTTTTCTAGGCTATGTATGATTCTCCGTGTCCTTTGGATGCTTGGTATCTGGTCTGATTTGAGTAAGAGCTGGTCTATGTCATTGCCTAAGTCCAGGATATTTGGTCTGCATTCACCCAGTTTGTAGAAAGTGCTACCTCCTCCCCCAGATTCTCAAACTTCTATTTAATCCTGCTTGTGCAAGAATTAGGGATCCAAACATGTTTTGACCTGTATAATTGCTTGTTCCCCATCATATCTATTGTATAGGACAGATCCATTAGTCTTTCAGAGACAGTCTTCACAAGAAGGACATGCAGGACGGAGTAATCTCTAAATTTCTATTGTGAAGGGATTCAAGGATGATAGCCAGTGTCATGTGGACATTAAATAGGACTGTTGATGGAGGGTAGTGCAGTCATTCCCATTTTAAATTGAGTGTGACATCACCCTTTTATCTCATGTAAGTAAGCTTTTTAAGTATGAAGGGCTGGACACAAAATGTTCTTAAAACATCTTTTCTCACCTGCTCTTCTTTGCCTTGGTCCCTCTTCTTTCACGTCTCTCCTTTTCTTTTCCTCTTCCTCCTCTCTCTTTTTCCTGCTCTCTCCCCCTCCCAGCAAAAGTTCCTGCTCTGGTTATGAGCTAAATCTTACTGACACATCAATAAGCAGAGATAAGAGTTAACTGATAAGAGACACTGACAGTGTGCTGTGACAGCTGCTTGTCAGGCCCACTCTATTTCTGCCACTACTTTTTGTTTTCTGCAGACTATCTGCATGGGTAAAAATTGGCTCTTACCTTACACCACAGTGTTATCTTGTAGGTGAATGTTCAACTTAGGATGTGCACAGCAATCAGCACCAGGGAAGCCCAGATGTTGGCTCCACAAGGTACATTACCATAAAAAGGCAGTAACAATTCCTCTTGAATTTCCTTCACTGCTATGCAACTACTAACAAGAAAACAGGAGCCTTCTCTGAGTTTGAACACATAGCAGGTTTGTGGATTTTCATCCCAAATCAGCCTCAGGATCTGCAGGTCTGAAAATCAATGTCTCTCGTAACATTTTCTCCCCCTAGTTTTCTTGAAACATTTGACTGGAAAGGAAGCACAATTCTTTAAACGACTTAAAGTATGTTTCATTGTTTCTATGGTCCAGTGTTTCCTATAACTACTTCTGTGGGAATGCACAGTCGAATCTGTTAACTGATGCAAGGAAATACTGTTTAAACAGTTGCATTAGTTTATGTTTGCCATTAACATAATTTTTTGTTCATTGCCTTTGAACTATGTTCTTTCTTCATTTAAACACACTCAGTTCAAGAGTCAATTTGTAGGCACTTTCAGAATCACCATTTAGTAAAAAAGATCTGTTGTGGCTCTACAAAATAAAAACGATTTTTATACTTGTTTCAAGCAGACCTGTTGCAAGTGTGAAATAAAAAAGGACAGTAAGATTTTCTATTGTGATATCTCTGTTAAAAAGTTCTTTGTTTAACGCTTCATAGTGAAGTTGCTTCTATTTAAAGCATTGAGTTTGATCTTGGCTTTGATCTAAAACTTTTGATCTTGAAAGAGGGATGTTGTGGCAGTAAAACAAAAAGGCTAGGAGAGATTTTTTTTTCCAAGTGATAGAGGGATACTCTCAAGATTTAATACATACTGGATCTACCTGTATTTACTTCAATCTGTTTACAAGTACATCTAATTCTACATATTGAGGGTTTGCTTACACACACGTGTTTTTTGCTAGAGCACAGATTTCCTTTTGAAGCTTTCATAGATTACAGCAATATATAGTATAAGCATATAAATAATTTTCAGAAGAGTATGAATAATTTTTAAAATACTGACAATATCTTAGTAATATAATTTTAACTATAACAAGTATGATGTGCTCTATCCTTTACTGTTTTTTAAATACAAAAACAAAAGCCCTTAATAAAACCCTCTCTTAGGAATTAATAATATTTGGATTTTGCAAGGTTGATGTAAGTATCTCCCTACATGCTGGAGTTTGAATAGCCTCCTCTGAGGGTGCAAAAATACCTGAAGTCCTATGCCTAAATTTAATTACCTCGTCACGGCAAATTGTTGTATAAATAAAGCCTTTAGCCGAGGCCTTGATAAAGGGCTGAAGTATACCTACAAAGCTGCTTTGGCTCTTTCTTTTAATGCGCATTTCAGACCCTCCAAGGTAGTTTAGTAGTTGGCTTCGGGAGGCGAGGGAGATACCAAGGCCAAGGTTGAAGCAGTCAATGGCCATGATGCTTTCTTGAGCTGTCCCCACTAGGCCATTCCTCTGTCCGCAAGATGCGTGACAGAGCGCGTTTACAGGAGCGTTCACAGGAGAGCGCTTCCATAGGAAGGCTCTCGGAGAGAGAGCGCGCATCGCTGAGA